ATCCTCCCAACAAAATATAGGCTAATCTAGTGTGTGCACTAAGGTCTCCTATTTCATAATTCTGTTGTACTCAAATTGCATCAGGGCTGGAGCTAGAGCCAACGTAGATAAAAGCGTAACTGTTAAGTCCATGGCTGAGAATCTAGGACATGGTTTAGTTACTCTCACAAGTCTCTTAAACAAGGTTAGCTTGTTTTTTTTTATTGTTCATCCCTTCAGCAGTCTGCTTACACTCATGACCCTTTATTTCTGAGTACCAAAACTAGTATTTTTATGCATGAAACAAGTACAATGAAACCTATTATTAGACCAATTTGGTTAGAATCCACCAGCTTTTGATCACTGAAGTTCATTAAGTAGAAAATAGAAGGCTTGGCCTAGGGTCTGTTTCTTTATGAATAAGAGTTCTGTGTATCTGAAGCTTGAACGCATTAATAGCATTATATCCAATGAAATAAAGCATTGGGTCTTTTCTTTTCTTTTTACCCTGCCTGCTGTTGCCTGGTATGTTATTAATGTTTCTTTCTTGCTGATGACACACTATATCAGATTTTCTAAGTGGTCTACAAAGTGAGCTGTTTGGCATCTTATACTGTTTGGTTGAGGATGTAGAGATGCACATAATAAAACTATTGTACTGTACTCAACAATATTTACTGTAGTGTACTGTATCTTTACTTCAGGAATTCAGTTAAAGAGCCATTCATCTTTAAAATGTTATCAGTTTTGCTTATGTCCTCTAAGTCGATTTAACTCTGTAAGATATGCATCACAACTACATTTCAATTTTTTGCTAGCTATTCTTTTGTTATTGGTGGTGGCCTGTTTCTCCACTTTTGTGCCACTAGCATGTGAGCAGCAACCATTAAATTCCATATTAACACCTTATGCTTGATTTGTTTCCCCAAATTCCCTAATAAAATTGTCATAGAAACATAGGGTTGGATGGGACCACGAGGGTCATCTAGTCCAACCCCCTGCAATGCAGGAATATTTTGCCCAGTGTGGGGCTCAAACCCATGATCCTGAGATTAAGAGCCTCAGTGGCGTAGCGTGGGGGGTGCAGGGGGGCCGGCCGCACCGCGCGCAACATCTGGGGGTTAGGGTTAGGGGGCGCAAATCCACGGGTTAGGGGGCACAAATTACTTGCCTTGCCCCGGGTGCTGACAACCCACGCTACGCCACTGAAGAGCCTTATGCTTCATCAGCTGAGCTATCCCAGGACAATGACTCTAAGGATAATAGGTCAGCTTGTTATCATCGAAACAGTTTTAACCACTTTCCCCCACAATTTTTTTGATTAATGGATATGTCCACCACTTACGCTTCATGACTGCCCTTAGGATATATAGATTGCCATGTTGGTCCATGGGGTGGGGGTAGGGGAGGCCAAATATTGCAGTATAGCAACACCTTTATTAGAACCCACCAAAAGGTCATGAGCAAGCTTTTGAGTTCTCCGGAACTCCACATCAGCCTGGATTTTAAACAAAACAAGGAGTAGGGGAGAAAAAGCTGGACACGATATTCTCGCTCCAAAATCTGCAGTTTGTGTAACAGTCTTAAAATGGAATTCAAGAAGAGCTGTGCAGAAATAATTGGATTAGGCGTACAAAGAGCATGACACATTCCAGGATGCACCCAAGGTTACTTGGGATAAGTAAGCAATAATGGCCACTTCCACATTTTCAAAAAACAGAACACCACACCAAGTAGTTACCCAGTTTTGTCTCTAGATAACTACAAATCTATTAACAGTGCAATCCTAACCATGTCTATTCAAAAGTCATATTGAATTCAGTCAGGCTTACGCAAAGTAACTACCGGCATACCTGTAGGGACATCTCCACCCCCAACGTTCAGCCTGAACATTGAGGTCCAGCTCTGAGGGCCTTCTGGTAGTTCCTTCACGGCGAGAAGTGAAGTTACAGGGAACCAGGCAAAGGGCCCTTTTCGTAGTGGTGCCCGCCCAGTCGAATGCCCTCCTGCCAGATGTCAAAGAGATAAACAACTATATGACTTTCCGAAGACATCTGAAGGCAGCCCTGTATCGAGAAGCTTTTAATGTTTGATGTTTTGCTGTGTTTTTATGATGTTAGAAGCCACCCAGAGTGATTGGGGCAACCCAGCCAGCTGGGCGGGATATAAGTATTAAAATTATTATTATTATTATTATTATCAACAACATCAAATCGAGTTAGGAATGCTGCTTGTTCTACTAGATGTTATTTTGCCTGTTACAAACTGCAACCTGCGACTTTTCCCTCCAACCTCGCCCCCAGTTTTGTTTTAATAACAAACATGTTGAAGAACTCAAAAGGTTTGCTTATTTTTTGCTTCATTCTAATGAAGTGTTACCATATTGCGGCTTTTGGAAATTGTTGTGTTATTTATTCGTTTCTTCTGTTTCTACCCTGCCTTGTTGCCAAAACCTCTGGGTGGCTTACCACAGTATAACAAGCCAGAGAATTAAACACGAAAAGCTGAAGCATAAAAACAAAAACAATACAAGCATGTGTAATGTGCTTGTTTACATCACTGATGTTGAAAAAGGCTTGTGTGGAATTACAGTCAAGGAATATGGAAACCAGGACTCTCCCATGCTTCCTGGGTCCCCTGAACCATCACAATTTCATTGCTCAGATGTGTTTTGGTTAAGTTTTGTAACTTGGATCTGCTGACTCACAGTGCTGAGATCACAGGGAAATTTCACACGCAAAGACCAGGAAATAAGTCCCACATCCTTTCCAGTTACTTCCCTGCCTACTTTCTCTTACTAGAGGGAAGCAGGCTTCATCTTAGCCATACTCATACTGTCTACTCGTTTGAACAGAAGAGAGCTTGGAGCAGGGACCTGACCACTCAAATAATATAAAGCACTGAGTGCAGATGTTCCCATATATAGAATACTGTAATGAAATTAGTTTCTCTCCTGGCTTGAAGATGCTGTGCTTTTGACCCTTAAGATTGCCTGTTCCACTGATCCAGAGACAAACAGTTTATTTGTTGCTGTTGCTGTTTTAAACCTCTTCTTGGGCTTCTGCTTTTGCAATACTTTGCATCAAGAAGCAGCACAAGTATCTTCAATCAGAGTTTGCTCACTTTTCATTTCTGTTTCACTCCCCACTTCCCCAAGGGCATGAGGTAACAACATTTTGAGGGAAACACAACATGTTTTCCAATTAAATAAATTAAATGGATCTCCCCCTTTAGCTTTGTTTGTTAAATCCAGCACAAGCAGAAAAGGTATTTAGGCTTTGTCCTTTCATGTTTATCTAGAGAAGAGTTCCCCAACTGACACACACAGCTCCTCTCTAAGATGTGCCCTTGATGTTTGAACCTGGTGTACAGACGCACTTGGCTGACATTTAAAGGCCATGCCTAAAGAAATTAGAAAAGGCAGGCCTCTGAGATATACAGAGCCCAAGCCATTAAGGGATTTATTCACCAGTACAAGCACTCTGAATTGTTATCAGACAGTAAAGGAGCCAATACATATGCTTAAGCACTGGAGCAAGATGCTCTTCACAGCTCATCCCTCTCAGTAAACAAGCTTTTGCAGTATAACAATGAAGATTTCAGCAGCCTTCAAGGACTGCTCCATTTGCAGCATCAGACCAACTCTGGAATGGGCAAAGCCATAATTAAGAGAATGTCCCCTATAAATTGATGCAGAGTGCCTTTCCTTCTCCACTGAACTGAAGCTCAGTTAAGCAAAATCTGATAATATCCAGTTCAGTGGGCAAGATTGGATTGATTCCTGGGGGAATTAATCGGTACACAGTATGATCAAAATACAGGTCAAATGCAAGTGTGGATGTGCCCGTAGCACACAATTCCCACAACTTTGTCCCCGATATTAGAGAGCAGGACTTTCAGACTACAGAAGTTGGGAGCTTCCCAACATCGCTCTACATGCTAATGATTATTTAGTTAAATGTGTTAAGCTAAACTAATCGGAAATAGTTTCCAGATATTTAATGGGCTTAGGATTGTATTTATGTTAACTGATAAAATAATGTGTTTAATACTATAAGGAGAAGATTTAAAGATGTTAATGTTCAATTTAAAGTGTATAAAAACTGGGTTTTGGAAAACTGTTATAAGGATTTGCAATGAAATTCAACTAAGGGGAAATGAGGAAATCGCTTTACAAAGTTAATAACTGTTGTTTTTAATAAGGTTATGATTTATGTTTGTTATGTTTGTTATGTTTGTTGTTTTGTGTTTTTGTTTGTTGTTAATATTGTAAAAATCAATAAATTTTTTAGGGAAAAACCAAAAACAAAAACATCGCTCTACATGCTGGGCCAAGCTTGACTCAAGCAGCCACCATGCCAAACAGGAGTCCCTTGCCTGTTCCTAATAGGCACAGAAAGGGCTTCTCTACACTTTCCTCTGCTCTTTCCAGGCACTGCCCCTGCTTTAAAACTCTGTGTCTGATGATCTCCCCCCCCCCAAAGCTTTCCTTGTGAAAACCTGTTCTTTAAAGCTGAATTGGAGCAAACAGCAATCTATGGAAAACCCAACTGACATTTGATCTGATTGAGTGCTAAAGAGCAGGTTTTTGCAGGGCAAGAGGTTAAAGTGCCTGTAAAGAGAAAGAGTGGGGTAGGGCAGCAATCACAGGTGGAGTTGGACAGCATGTTTGTGTGTGCCCTTAGGGGTTGCTTTTATCTCTCTTAAGGAAAAACACTTTCCACATATAACTGGGTCATAAAGTAGAAACTGAAGGTGGGTGGGAGAGATGGTCCTTTCGAGTTCTGTGATTCTATGCAATTAAAACAAGGCACTTCTCCGCAGCCGCAGCCGGGAGACATAGAACCATCTCGACTCTCTCCCTCCCCGCAAATAAACCCGGGAAAGGAACAGACGAGCGCGACGAGGATTTAAGCGGCTGAGGGACAGACTACGAGGAGGGCGAGTTGCCAATCCCGGCGCATGCGCGGCGGCAGGGCTCTTGTGGCGGCGGCGGGAGGGGGGATTGCCGCGGGAGAGGCGTCTTCGGGTGCGCGTGCGCGGTGGTGCCCCTTTGCTTTCGACTATATAGGCGGCGGCGGCCGGAGCTGGGTTGACACTGAGCGGAAAGAGCTGGAAGGCGAGGGTTGGAGGGACGCTAATTGACGGGTAAGGGACCGGGGGGGGGGGAGGGCGGCGGATAGGATGGCGGCGGGGGGCGCGTGAGGGAAGGAGGGAGGGAGGCCCGGTTTCCTTCGAAAGCGGCGCTTAGCCCTCGCTTGCTCGTGTCCGAGGCGGCGGCGGCGGCCCAGCCGGTACTTCTTCGCTCCTGACCTTGTCCGGCCTCGGATGGACGGAGCTGTCCGGGGCAGGGGAAGCGGGTGGCCGCTCGGGGCGCCCTTGGCCGCCGAGTCTGGGCGGGATGCGGAGGGGCTTCTCCTCCCCCTACAAAGCTGCCCCTGGGCGAAAGGGGCCGGGAGGGAGATCTTCGTCCCCAGAAGGGGAGAGGGAAAGCGGGGGGGGGGTCCTCCTCCTCCTCTTCTTCCTCCTCGCCCCGATCCCTCTGTGCCCATCGCTTCGTTTCCACCGTGCGCCAGGGGAGACACGGCCCTCCTTCACTGGCAGGCTTTCGATCGGCCACAGCGGAGTCTTCACTTCGGTCCCCCGCAAAAGAATCCGAGACGAGGAGGAAGAAGTGGCCGGGTTGGGGCGATCTCGTTCAGTCCTCTGGGATGGAGCCTCCCTAGATCTGCCCGTGTCAGTTGTCTTAGGAGACTTGGATGGGGGTTTCCGACAAGTTCCGCGTCCTCTCCACAAACGTCCCTCACTCACAACAATAAATGTCTGTTTTAACGCCTTGCAAACAGAAGTGTTGGCGGGGTGGGGCGAGGTCTTGCAGGTTGGCGAGTTTATTGTGGCATATTCTTAGGTGGGCTAAAGCTCGCTTCACTGAACCCATGAAATATTGCCTGTCCAAATACTGGCATCTAGCGTTATCTGTCATTTGGAGCAAGCACTCAAGGCTGGCTGTAGTCCACAATGTGCTATGCCGCAATAAGTCTTTGTAAGTTTTAACATGCTGCAAGACTCTTTGCGCGAAACGTTGCAACAGATCCGTAGGCTACTCTTCTGGAACTGGTGAGTCAAGATTCCTTGGACTGCCTATCCTCCCAGTTTTTCTTTCTTCCTTTTGTCAGTCAAGGGGTCATATGTGAAATTATCCACTGCTGAATTACTATGCCAGTGGTTCGGGTATTTTGGCCTGTAGCTCAATGCATGTGCAGCTATTTAATCTTTGGTGGCGCTATGTTTTTGTTTTCTGTTGTTTGCTTTTGCTTAAAGGTTGCTTCATGCATTGTAAACATCTTGAACTGGAGGGGTGTCCTTTGTAGGACTGAACCTGCAACTGTGTGTGTAGATCATAATATGTTACAATCTTGTGTGCATCTAAAAGCTGCAAGCACATCCAAAAGTCACTAACCTATGTATGCTGGTCATCTATATGTTTGTCATATGTCAAGTGACCCCAGTAGTTCTTGAAGAAGTCTTGTATACAGACTGTCTCTCTTGCATCTTTGTATGAGGTTAAACTACATTGTTTTGTTATTTTCAGCAAGACTTTTGAAAACTCTTGAAAAATGGAAGCTGTTGTTCGCCGCTGCCCCTTCCTGTCAAGGGTATCCCAGGCTTTCCTGCAAAAGGCTGGCAAATCCCTTCTTTTCTATGCCCAAAACTGCCCTAAAATGATGGAAGTTGCGACTAAGCCTGCTTCACGTGCCCTGAGTACTTCATCTGCTCACTGTCAGCAAACTGAAGAAACCACTTCTACTAGTGAGAGTAAGGCTCAACTTTGCAATTTTGCTATTTAATACTGCATAACTCGAAACTTTCTTGAAATGTTGTCCTTACTAAATTGAAATACAGCAGTGAGCATACTTCTGAAACCCAATGGAGTTGCAATGCCATTGGCCTGATCTTATTCATCCACAAGAGTTTTTGCAAAATACTGATAGTTAAACCTCCTAGAATTGCCTGCTTGTTTGTACCTGTTCAGCAATTTAAATTATACTACAGGACTCTGAAACTTAGGGTGAGATCTAGTAATGGCAGCCTGTGAGTGCAACAGCCATACAATTGGGGAAGGTGGGGGGACATTCTTAATGTAGTGCAATGGCCAAATCCAGTGAGTGGGCAGCTTAGGGCAATAGAAATGTCAAACAGAATTAACCTGTGTATCTGAAGAAGTGTGCATGCACACGAAAGCTCATACCAAGAACTAACTTAGTTGGTCTTTAAGGTGCTACTGGAAGGAATTTTTTTTGTTTTGACTATGGCAGACCAACACGGCTACCTATCTGTAACTAGAATTAACCTGTGATATCCTGTTTTATACTGTTATACTACTTCTGCATGAGTAGCAAATAGCTTGCACAACAGTGCCAACTCTCCTTGATATGGGATCTTGCCCATAGTGATTATATTAGAAGTGATGCATTACGTTTTAAAATTAACTTTTTATTGGCAGTATGTTTGTAAATGGTTTATTATTTCAAGGCAATATGATGTTAGCCAAGTTCACTTTTGAGAAAGTGGTAGGCTGACTGAACTTTGAACGTCCTTTTCCCAGTTACAGACGCCAAAGTATATTGTAACTCGTTCTCTGTACAATCTAAGAACAAGGGTGAAGAACAGTATAAAAATTATTGCATATGGTGGATGACACTGATGAAGCTTTTGCAGGGCAACCTTCCAGGGCCCACATGCCAGCAGTAGGGGGGCCAGAGACAGAACTGGGCAAAGCAACAAATGCAAATGTTACCTTTGAACAGTACCCTAGTTTCTACACACACACACACACACACACACACACACACACACAGTCTAGGCAAGCAAAATGCATTATCAAAGTTCACATTCCAGCCATGCAGTAGTGTATGAAGTGGGACCAGTGAGGAGAATGGCCAGTGTGGCTGGTCACGGGGTGTGGTTTGCAAAGAGATTCAGGGGCCAGATAGGCTTGTGAGGCTGCATTTGCCCCTGAGCCTCAGGTTCCTCATTCCTGATTTAGGGCCATCTTAAATGGCAAATGACCTGGCACCACAGTTTTGCCTTTTTTGAACTTTGCTTTTGTTGCTTAAAATATCTTTAATCACAGGCTTTCTACATGCTGTTGAAATATGTTTTCATCACTGCATCAGGAAGTGCTAACTAAAGGCAAGAGCCTGGCAGGAGAAACTTCAGGAAGCAAGAACTTAGGAAATACTAACTGTACAAATCTATGTTTTTCATTAGAAGTAAATCCCACTTAATTAAATGAGGTGTACAACCCTTCAAAGTGTGCATAGGACTGCAGTCTAAGGCTTTTATCCTATATACTGTAACTTAGAAGTAAATCCCATGGATTCAGTTGGATTTCCTTTTAAGTAAATGTACATAAGAGTGTGCTGCTGGTTCTCTTGAACACTTGTCAGTTAAAACTATATGTTACACACTGTTATTGTGAGGCATAGCCCTGATTTTTAAAATGATTCTACAAAAGCAGACTTCTCATTAATGAAAGAAAACTGTTGTGTGTTCAAATATACTGTATGTCAAAACTAATAATGGGACTGATGTAACGATTCATCCATTTCTTCTTTGCACAATACTGGTCCGTTTTTTAGTGTTCTCCTCTGAGTATAGTGTTCCCCTTTAGTTTTCTGAGTATAGTTTGATATGTTGCTGGGCAGGGGGGAGAGTGTAGTGTTTCCGCTCTCTGAGTATTTTTTCAGTTTGGTTAGTTAAACAGCACTTCTGAATGAAAATGTTTTCAATCCTTACAGTATCTGGATAATATTTAAGGTATTACACATAAAATATATTTTAAGACGCATACAACTAGCACCCCTATCAAAATGAGTACCTCAGATACCTTTGTTGCATACTAAACACTTTATTCTTTTATTCAAGAGGCCAAAAATTCACCAGATGTGGCCCAACGAAACATAAGCAGATCCCAACTTCCATTGAGCCACCCACCTGCCGCTAGCCAGAGTGCTAGCCAAGCCACTGTGACTAAATGCCCATTCTTGGCAGCTCAGATGAACGAAGGGAACAGCAGTGTTTTCCGCAAAGCTAGCCTGGAACTCCAGGAGGATGTGGAAGAAATGCAAGCAGTAAGAAAAGGTATCACCTCTTCTGAATATTTGGAGGTTTAATAAAATTTGGTTCTAATCATGCTAGGTAGATTTTAAAGAGAGGAGACAAAACTGAACAAAGTTTAGTCCAAGTTTCTCAAGCTCTTTAAATTGTGTAGCTCTTGCAGAATCCACATGTTGCACATCCATTGGCTTGGGTTTTTCTATCTGCTTTATTTACAGTTAGTTGTTGGTGTAATAATAATGATCATAGTTCTGAAACCTGTCTGAGCCAAAGATCTCTCTTTCTAATGGTGGTGTTTCCTGTAAGTACAGTTATGAAATAGAGGAAAACACTTTGGGACAGTTAATTCACATGCTGCTATAAATGCACTGTAAAATAACAGACTTTCACTTGCCTCTGCTCTGAAAGCATGGCTACTTTTAGGGAAACACTAATTGATTCTCAGTGACTTGGACTTTGAATTGGCCACAATACAAGGAAGAAAGCAAGTGGACACCAGTGTAGTGCTAAGCAGTTCATGTATAACTATAAACTTTTGTTGTCTAGTTAGCTAGAGTAGATTCATGCAGCTGTGTTTTATTGCTTGGATTTTTGGGGGAAATGTGGGATAGTCCTGAGTTTGAAAATAACTAACACACATAAAACTGGGAAGATACCTATCATGAAATGAATGGTAGAGGGCTGAGAAACAGTTATCCCCTATGTGAATCCCCAGCACTGCCAGGACTTATTCTGAAGAAAAAAAGTACTTGTAATCACTAAATATACTACTTCATTCAGTTACAGTATCATTTTTTTTTAAACAACTGCATTATTTATACATGAAATTTAATTTGAGCTGTCCAATCACTAATTTTCTTATGCCACCTTGCTATGTAGAATTTGCCAAAACACCAGAAAGTACTGTTGCGGTAAACACTAAGATGGATGGGGGAAAGCCAAATGATGGCTTGCTGAAGAAATTCCAAGATATGATGTTGAAACAGAGACCAGAAAGGGTGTCTCATCTGCTTCAGGAGAACTTACCGAAATGTGAGGCACAGTCTTGTTTAACTTGATGGAAATCAAAAGCTTGTATAAACTTTGTTGGTTGTTCTAGCTGCTTACATGTGCATGCCTTCCTCTTCTAGCTGTTTCTACTTTCCAGTATGATCAGTTCTTTGAGAAACAAATTGATGAGAAAAGAAAAGATCATACATACCGTGTGTTCAAAACTGTGAACCGAAGAGCCCAGGTTTTTCCCATGGCAGATGACTATTCAGAATCCCATAGCAGCAAGAAAGAGGTGTCTGTCTGGTGCAGCAATGATTATCTTGGGATGAGTCGTCATCCTAGAGTTTGTGGAGCTGTTATGTAAGTGGTTTTTAATTGACAGTAAAATGTTGACTAATTGCACTGTGTCTTTTAGAAGCCTACCCAACACCATTGTTGGTTACAAGCAAATTATTAAGTTATAGATCCTCTTTGGTTATTAGGGGACCTTTTGTCACTGTCTCTTCTTTGTAATGATCCACCCACCTGCATCATATTCCACATGACACCAAACTGGTTTTAAAAGATTAAATGGAGTTCCACTGTATTTCTTAATACAGAATGCTTCTCCTCTAATTACCACAAGTAGTTTGCTTATAATGAAGAATGTTTTTTTAAAAAATCTCAAGCTGTTAACCTATGAGATTCCCCCCAAAATTATCCTAGTTTGTGCTTGGCTTTATCACTCAGGCCAACTATTTAAAACTCCCCTGCACGAATGGGAATGCAACTTATTTGCGAATGTGAGATTGCTTCAAGTTGTGTTTAATGACCCTGTTGGAACCTTCCTCACAGGGAAACACTGAAACAGCATGGTGCGGGAGCAGGAGGCACCAGGAATATATCAGGAACCAGTAAATTCCATGTTGATCTTGAGAAAGAATTGGCTGATCTCCATGGAAAAGATGCTGCTCTGTTGTTCTCTTCTTGCTTTGTAGCAAATGATTCAACACTCTTCACACTAGCCAAAATGTTGCCAGGTAAATCTAACATGAATATGCTGTTCTCCTGTACCTTGAAGGAATTGCTAAAAAAATATATTCCATGGTACATTCATTTCAAATACTGTAAAACACCAAATTGCCCCAAGATTGCCCCAGATTAATTCAATACAAACACTTAAACTAGCTTAGAATTTGAATGTGGCTTAGCAGTTTTATCTAGCAGCAGGTGGCGCTGTGGGTTAAAAGCCTCAGCGCCTAGGACTTGCCGATGAAAAAAGGTCAAGCGGTTGCGAATTGCCCCGGCGTCGGGGTGCGCTCCCGTTGTCGGTCCCAGCGCCTGCCAACCTAGCAAGTTCGAAAGCACCCCTGGGTGCAAGTAGATAATAGGACCGCTTACTAGTGGGAAGGTAAACTGTGTTCCGTGTGCTGCGCTGGCTCGCCAGATGCAGCTTGTCACGATGGCCACGTGACCCGGAAGTGTCTGCCGAACAGCGCTGGCCCCGGCCTATAGAGTGGAGATGGGCCGGCACAACCCTAGAGTCTGGCAAGACTGGCCCGTACAGGGCAGGGGTACCTTTACCTTTACCTTAGCAGTTTTATCAATCCAGCCAGGTTAAGTGCATGTTAATGGTTTTTGCTACCTCATGGAAATTGTATCAAAAGCTTGAACTGAAAAACCCCAAACTAGATGTGTGAAGACAAAATGCAAATACAGTACGAGCGCATGGTGTGTAGGGTTTTGTTCCAAGGATTCTGTGTATACATGAAAATTGCTTATACCCAAACCCTTGGAGCTGCCCCGGCGGCTAGCAGGTGAGGAGGAGAGAGAATCCCTCATACTCCCATAGCCTGTGCGCTGGGCAGGCTTTGCCTCCCAAGTAAAAGCAGAAAACGTAGAAGTTCTTTTTATGCCAGGTAGCCCCAAGTGGACCCAGTGCAAAAAGAGCTTGCTCGGCACACTGCCTCTGGGAGGCTAGGGATGCTCATGGGAGATCTTGCAGGAACTTGGATGGCCCCACAAGATCGTGTGCAAAAATCCCAAAGCTGGTGCACTGAGCATGCATTTCCCCCCGCAGGCAAGACAGGGAGCTTAAAAGCTCTACGCACTGGGTAACCCCAAGCAGACCCAGCAAAAACATAACTTTTAACCTCTCCACCAGGCTTGGATTTGACTTGCACAGTTTCAGCCAGCTTGTTGAAACTTGCTCAAGTTAAATGGGTATAAGATGCGGCTGTACGGTAGCTGAATTTGAAGGTACCACTTTGGTTTTTTGTTTCTTTACATATTTTTCCTATGTTCTGGGTATCTGATGACACTACATAATGTGTGGCCACAGCAGTACCAAGGCAACACTGGATCATTCCTGCCCTGCTCACTCACTGGATTTCCTGCTTAAAAGACTACCTTGTTCAGTGATGTTGCTTCCCTTCCAGAATCATAGAATGGGGTTCTCCTGGATTTGAGCAATAGCTGCCAGGAAAATTCCAAGAACAGAATTTGAAAATTAAGGTGACTTGCAAAAGGCAGGACCAGCTGGGTAATATCTGGGTTCAGGGTTTGAACCCGCTGCCTCCTTTCCCCCAGATACAGTAGCTTGTTTGACAGGTTCCCACAAGAATCTTATTGCTCTGGGTTTCTTTACATTCAGGTTGGGATAATCTGATCTCTCTCTAGCTGGATTAGTGAGTTGTCCTAATCCTATCCAGTTACAGATGATCAAGCTGCAATGTGGTATTTGATTGGCCTTCTCTCTCTCTCCCTCCTCAGGTTGTGAAATTTACTCGGATGCAGGAAACCACGCTTCTATGATTCAGGGGATTCGAAACAGCAGAGTGCCAAAGCACATTTTTCGCCATAACGATGTTGGCCATCTCCGAGAACTGTTGAAAAAATCAGATCCATCTACTCCCAAAATTGTTGCATTTGAAACTGTTCACTCAATGGATGGTATGCTTGCTATATCATGCTCCAGGTCCTGAAAACTGGGAAGACATGGGTTCTGAAACGCAAGAACTTGATATATTACTATTACCTTGTTTTAGGTGCAGTCTGCCCGTTGGAAGAGCTTTGTGATGTGGCTCATGAACATGGGGCAATCACCTTTGTAGATGAAGTACATGCCGTTGGGCTGTATGGAACTCACGGTGGAGGCATTGGAGACAGAGATGGGGTCATGAACAAAATGGATATCATCTCTGGAACGCTGGGTATGTGCACACTGGTGCTGTTCATTCTAATTTTGAGTAAGAGTGACTAAGAATGAGTCATAAAACAGAATGATCATACCCTTGTAATTCCATTTGCAAGGATAATTTGTATTTGTGGTAGGTCCTCCATTCCTGCATTAAATCAGTGTATGTGAAAATGTTAGTTGTTTTACAGAGTCCTCCTATCCTTACCTTGAACTTAACTCTGTAAAGTAGAACGTTCTTAATCCTGAAACCTGACATGGGAGTTGTGTAAGGAGATTTGGTAGGAACAGAAGTAGTAAATCTATGTCGTAGCAACAAGTTTTACCAGTTAAGGCTATTGCTTATTGCAATTTCAAAAGCTGCAATGAAAACAATGTACCAGTGGAAGCACTTTACCTCCATAAATTTTAAGGAACTATGAATTGGCAGTTGGTATTACATAACAACTGCAAAGTTGTACCCACCCCAGACTGCTTGCTCTTATTATGCAAGTGAAATATATGAGTACCTCCCTTTGGAGGTATTGGTTTACACAAGGTATGCTTTCTCTGTAGATAATAAGACACTGTGAAAATGCTGTTAACACAAAGTAGCAAAACTAGTAGAGAGGACTGAATATTGTGTTAATCTTCCCTAATTTTTTGGTCCTAGAAGCCCTCTTGGTGGGCCAGTTAGAAAACTGCTCCTGCCACTGAAACCTGTTTGACAGTTGTTTTTAAGCGTCACCATGTGATGTCAGAATGTACTGATTCCCCAAAGATGGCTTCATGTCTGCCTTTTCAGATGTGGTCACGGGTTTTCTTTATGCACTTTCCCTGTATAATGTGTGTTTGAGCGCACACAGCTTTAAGCAGCTTATTTAAAACTGGGGTGGTAGTTCTGTATTGAACATACCACCTTACTCTGTTGCATGAAGACTTAAAACAGCTCTCTTCTGTAGAAGAGGGATCAAAATACTGCATTGCTTGTTAAACATCTGCTTCTTACCAAAATTAGTGGTTAGGTATCAAAAGAACTGTATGCCGAGGATAAAATAACCTTTTGCTTGTTTTTCCTGCAGGGAAAGCCTTTGGCTGTGTAGGGGGTTACGTGGCCAGTACAAGTTCTCTGATAGACACTGTCCGTTCCTATGCTGCTGGCTTTATTTTTACAACGTCCCTGCCCCCCATGCTCTTAGCTGGCGCTCTCGAGTCTGTGAGAATCCTCAAAAGTGCAGAGGGGCAAGTCCTTCGCCGCCAACATCAACGCAATGTTAAACTCATGAGACAGATGCTGATGGATACTGGCTTCCCTGTAGTGCACTGTCCCAGTCACATCATTCCTATCAGGGTAACTATTTAAGGACTTAATCCAGTACATAAAAACCCCATTGTTCTTTTATGTCCCACAGAAATTTCATAATTAAGTCTGTATGCATTTACATTCTTTATCTTGTTGAACTCTGTATAACATGGCCTCTTCCCCAATTCCCCAAGAGGCATCTTAATGGTTATGACTTCAGCAATTTTCCCCACGCACTGTTTCAGTTTAAATTTATGCATAAAACACAGATTGAGAGAGTAGGAGATTGATGGCAGCCTGCATTTCTTTGCTTTCCTGCCCAGGACCCACAGAATACAGCAATCTGACATTGATTAGGGAAGAGATTGGTATGAAGCCCACATAGTCTGTGGAAGGAACCCAGGATGGGGATACCCTGAGGTCTCCCTGGCAAGAGAAGTGGCACAGGAGTATATCACTGGCCTTCTTGGACCACACACATGTGCTTCGTTCTCCCTGCCTTTTCCGCTTCCACCCCACCCCAAAGCACTTGCCTCCTAGTTTTAGCTTGTATCTTACTGGTTAATAGTTCATGCAACTGGCAGTGTCTAAGTACAGGTCTTTGTAACTATAACTTTTGGAGTCTGGTCATGGGAACACCTAGTTGGTCCTTGGTGGTGCAAATAATGTATTTTTACAGTCTTGGAAACGTGTCTAGAAATAATCTTTCTGCCTCAGGTTTCAGATGCTGCTAAAAATACTGAGATCTGTGACAAAATGATGAGCCAGCATAGCATCTACGTCCAAGCGATAAACTACCCCACTGTGCCACGTGGGGAAGAGCTGCTACGTATTGCCCCTACCCCACATCATACACCACAAATGATGAACTATTTTATTGGTGAGTGAACAAAGACATAAAAGCACAGCAACATTTCCTAACACTTTTCTGACTATAGTGCTAAAGAACTATTTGGGCACTTATTACTTGCACAATTCCAATCATGTGTGGCAGAGAGTAGGGCTGCCATATCCACAACACCCCTTATTTTCATTAAGGTTGAAGGCTGAAACTAGGAGCCCGCTCTACACTCAGACTCCCCCATGTGACTTTGAACCCTGATCATGCATGGGGAGGCTTTCATGTGGAGCATGGCCCTGCTGTACCTCCATATGTAACTGGAATCCCCTAAGTAATTAATGCTCAAATAGGGTTGCCCCTATAGAAAAAATGTGCTTTGTCCCTAAGGTTGAACTGTCATAAGCATGAGAAGCAGGGTGGGTGACTGCAAGTACCACTTCCTAAAATGTAAATAAACTTACACAGTACAATATATAAAACTGAATTTGAGACCAGTAAGGTTTTTTTGTGATCAAGTTAGATTGTTCTTCAAAGGTTTCTGTATCAAGGAAGCACTGTGCTGGCTTAGTTCCACTTGTTCGTACAGCTGGATATTTCTTTAATAATTATGTCAAATGATAAGGCTAAACATGGTACATCATCAGATCCTCACCTTAGCTGAGTCCTTGCCTATTAAATTGCATGAGTCTCTAACAGGCAAACTGCATCTGCGCTATGTGCAGCTTTCTTGCTTCTTTAAAGAAAGCCAGGAGTACATGTAGACTCCATAGCACTGTGCCCGTAACACAGTACTGGGTTAAAGGTAAAAGGACCCCTGACCATTAGGTCCAGTCGTGGACGACTCTGGGGTTGCGGCGCTCATCTCGCTTTATTGGCCGAGGGAGCCGGCGTACAGCTTCCGGGTCATGTGGCCAGCATGACTAAGCCGCTTCTGGCAAACCAGAGCAGCGCAAGGAAAACAGTTTACCTTCCTGACGGAGCGGTACCTATTTCTCTACTTGCACTTGGACGTGCTTTCAAACTGTAGGTTGGCAGGAGCAGGGACCGAGCAACGGGAGCTCACCCTGTCGCGGGGATTCGAACCACTGACCCTTCTCATTGGCAAGTCCTAGGCTCTGTGGTTTAACCCACAGCGCCACCCGCATCCCTCAAGTACTGGGTTAGTGCCAGTAAATCTGCTATCTCTGTCCTAACACACACAAGCTTACTAAACAGTTGTTGGCATCCATCTGTCTCAAGAGACAGTGGAGTTCACCTCTGGGGGTGAAGTCAAACTGAAGTGACCTCTTCATGGCGCAAGCCTGGGCAGTGTGTATGGAGGTCCTGGACTGCCCAGATGACAAAACCCCCTCTTGGCCTCACTGATGTGATCCAAAGCAAAGTTGAGCAATACGTTTTGCACCAGCCTGGCAGCAGGAGTTGCTGGAAGGAGGCGTACAAGGCTCCATCCAACCGTTTTAGAGACTCCACTTCAGATTTGCGTAGGGTTTTGGAGGCTTCCTCCAAAAGGGAATATTGTCTAGCAGGTAATGCAAGAATTGAGATTGTCTCACCTAGTAAACCTGTAACAGGCAAAGGGCCATGAAACCTTTGAACATAACGGGGTCATTAGTTTTTTAAAATTCAAGGCTACTGTGTTAAAGAAAGCTAATAAGGATGAACCTTGTATTAGTTGTTCTGTGTCTTTATGCTACAGATTAGCCCAGAGTGTTTGCTTTGTCTCTGCAATTACCAATAAGTCTGTTTCCTTCTTCCCTTGCAGAGAATCTGTTAGCTACTTGGAAGGAAGTTGGCTTGGAGCTGAAGCCACACTCCTCTGCTGAATGCAACTTCTGCAGGCGACCCCTTCACTTTGAAGTAATGAGTGAAAGGGAAAGATCCTACTTCAGTGGAATGAGCAAACTTGTGTCAGCGACTGCATAAAGCAAACTATAGTCCTATCTATGTCTAGTTGTCTAGTGTTCAAATGTTCACTGTAGCCTCTTTCCTGCATATGACATGCATTTTATTCCGTAGCTTAAGAACAGAATTCCTGAAAATAAATTTTCAGATGGTGTATACTAGTTCTGTATTTTATGGTAGTGTTTTCTTTTCCCATCCTCCAATTATAATCATTGCAGATATAACAGACAGCATGTTCAGATAGCAGTAGAAACAAGCTGGGGTCCTGTTAATGAATAACTCATCTAGTCTTTCAGTTGTGCTAACAAATTGCCTTAACAGACTAGGCTAGATGTTACTAAGCTGGCGAGGTTCTGAACCTGGGTATTCTTTCTGCCTGTGCCAGGCCCTCTAATACCAAGAAATCTAAAAGCCAATAGGAAAGAGATGTTATCCTTTATGTAGGTTTAAGAATTTTTGGGGTGTTGGGGAATCAGTAGGTTGCATACTTGTTCTCCAGTGCCATGCATCTACCTAAAATGAAAGACTTGAACCAGTAATTGCTCAGGAAGAAATGCAGATGGGGGGGGGGGAAGTACCGTAAATGCAGAAATAAATAGCACACGTGTAATATCACTTGGGGTAGAGAGGAAATTTTATCACAGCTAGTGGAGTTTGTCCCCCAGACTGTTTTCAAGTCCCAGAACTCCAAAAATGGATTTGGGGAAGGAATAATGTATAAGCACCCAGGAGTAGAGGGGATATGATGAAGCCGCTTTCCATGCACAAAGCAAGGTTTTCCTGCAGCTTTTAGTAATTTTATATCTAGTACTTCAGCCTCCCCCAAACAGATGTTGTCTCAGCTGGGGGAAAAATGCTAGATTTTACATAGGTGTGCACATACCAGCATCTATATAAAAAGTGAGGATGTTGGGGTTGTCAAATGCATGAATTGAGTGAACCATAAATTCTGTGAGGCCTTTCCTCAAAGTGTAAGAGAGACAGTGGGATAAGTTAGAGAAACTTAGATGATTGTGTTCTCTCTCTCTCTCTCTCTCTCTCTCTCTCTCTCTCTCTCTCACACACACACACACACACACACACACACAACATAGGTATGATTATTTACAAAAAAAAGTTTCCAAAGTAATCGGACCTTGAGAAAGGAGTAGGGGAGAAGTGCAACTCCACATACCATGTTCAGAATGACTGTTCACTTCCTGTTTCAAATAAAGGCAATGGTCTCTAGTGGACTGAGAGAAGCAAATAGCACTCTCAAATTACTGGAGGTAAGAGTTATGAACACACAAATCCCTTTCAAGCCAATAGAGACATAGCTAAGGATTTGGTATGTTTGAATAACTAAAAATTGCATAACAGTAGTTGAAAAGGAATTAGTAAAGGGTGTGTCAAATCTATTTAGTAGGAAAAAGCATTCCAACCACACATTGTCTACTTGTATGCTGATAATTACGCATATATTTGACCCAGTGCTCAAGGGTTGGGGGTGGAATCAGTGGGGACATGCAGGTGGAGCTGGCACCCACAGCCCCCCTCCTCTCTCTGCCCCCACCTTTATTCCCCCAGGTGTTCTTTTGAGAACCTGGATAAGATTATAGTCAGACTATAAACCCTATTATCCATTGCTTGGCTAATTTCCCAGCTCTATGACTGCTTCAACAGCTCAAGTTTTCAAACGTACTTACCATTGAGAGTCATTCATTATCTGCATTCCCAAATCAAATTCCTAAGTGGAGGGTGGATAGTGGTTAGCAACTATTAGGACTCATATTCCTCCCCGCCCCCGGCACATATTTGAATTCAAGTCAAAAAAGATGCTAGCAGCTGTTTTATAAAATCTGGGTGGATTGGTCTGAATCCAATAAACCAGATGTTATTTTAACCTTTTGTGTTTTGCCTTGGAAAAAGGAAAATCCTGTGAGAAATTAAGCTTCTGTGTTCTGAGGGAAGATGATCACATTTCTAATGCCAACTTTCCAGTGAGCTCAGAACTAAGCATTGTTTGAGCTTTATAGTGATCCTGTGAGGCAGCTTGTCTAAGGGCCATTGTGCCCTCCAGTCACGAAATGTGAGTGATAAATAGCAGGCCAAAGGACACCTGTGCTCCTTTCTTGCATTCAGTTTTCTCTGTGCTTACGAAATACAATTTGGCAATATGTCTGACCCCAGATATCAATGGTGAAAGGCCAGCGACAGCCCTGCCATTAGTGAGGCAGCCCGTTTGGGGTGTCATGAAAGGCCTGCACATTAGTAGTGATTTAACGTATTGCTTTATTCTTACTTCCTAGGCGAGATGCTTGTGGGATTTTTCTAATTCAAGCATCAAAGTAACTTGGTCAGCTTTGGGTACTATGCACCTTGCTTGGGGGAAAAGGGGCAACCATTTGCCGTCCTATCTCGGGCAGAAAAATGTCTCGGGCCAGCCCTGTTAAAGGCACTCCTGAATCCAGTTTGGAAACCATGCTGATTTCAAGCACGTGGTCTTGTCTATGGCATAGAGAGGACCCTCTTCAGCTGTGTTGCTCTGCAGCTCAGTACACTAAAGGCAAAAAAGACCACATCAACAAGGCCCCAGAGTAGGTTTGTGTGCAGTATCTTATATTTCAGAGTACTGCAAACACTGGTCCCTATTGGTTTATTGGAGGTGGTAGAGAAACGGAACAACGTTTTGGCCTGACCACTGAGGGTTCTGCATAGGACCCCTGAGAATACTATTCTGGCAAACGCTGAACTTAGGAAACCAGGTAACACCCACCCCAGGGAAACACGCCCCAGTATATGTATTGACAGCATGAGCCATATTTTCCTGTTAACAAAAGCAACTACAGTCTCAACTAAACCCCCTCCTGCCAGTGTCAAGCTTCGTGGGAAGAGGGGAACTGAGGGAGCGTGTTTTGCAGACCTGCAACTTCCTTTGCGAGAATATTTCTTCCGTCCTGCACTCTTTAAACTTCTCTTCTGATGAAAAAGAAAAGAGCAGCTAAAACAGTTTAGATTTGTGTTCGCTATATACCGGTAACCAGGCAGATGAAGGTAGAAATTAGAAGCCAGTTTTCTTGGCTTGCTGTTGCATTCCTAACATGTGTGGTGCTCCTGTCTTGCTTATGGTATATTATTTGCACTGCACCTGCCATTGGAAATTGATTGGTTCCAGAACACAAATCACTTGTCGTTCCTCATTACTAGATAAGGCACTGAAACCTATATTATTGCAGATAACAATGGAATCTGCATCTCACAGCTGCTATAATAATAATAATTAATAATAATAATAATAATAATAATAATAATAATAATTGTTTGTGTGTTCTTGTTCAGAACAGTCAAACAAAGATGGGAAGGACAGATGACAACTCTGACCCCATTGCCACCCTTGCCCTCCCTCATCTTTCTGTCATAGTAGCACCAGAAGCTGCTTCTCTTCAGGAGAGGGCCTGGAATCTGGATAGCTGCCATGGTCTTCCAACAGGGCCCAGCCCAAGGCATCCTCCACATTTCAGATATCAAAGCCAACCAGACTGTCACATGAATCTTACTTCGACACCGGCAATGGGCAGCATCCTCCGCTGCCCAGCAGTCTCACTTAGGGGCAGATCATGTGGCGCACAGTTCCTCCGCTCCTCAGCATCTGCTGCTATCTCACTCTGCCTAATAGTAGAGCCGGCCCTGCTCTTCATGGATTTCTCATTTTCTCCTCAGGCGGCAGTGACTGCGCGCATATCAAGTGATCCTCTCACTCCTAAACTGCTTTAAAAGCGTGAAGAGTCTCACCCCTTTCTGGTCTCTTCACCCACCCAACCCACATTTTCTCTCAAAAATATTTTGTTTTTCTCCTTCCACTCCGCTTCTGCTTCAGCATGGACAGAGGGCAGAAACTGCCCACGCTCCACCCCTAGACGACAACTGAGGAGAAAAGAAAGGGGAAGGAAGCACCTGCTCTCTCTCACTCTGCTGCTACTACTGCTAGGTGGCTGTTCCAGGGAGGGTTGCAGGAGCCCAAAACTTTCTGTTATCCCTTGGTTGGGCAACACCACCAATAAAATAATAAAATCAGAAATGCATCACATTGGCCAGCCTAGCGTATGTTCCCACTTACGATCTTGCTTGACTCAGGGTTGACCCTATCGTTAGGTCAAATGGCACAGCCATCTCAGGCAGCTGATGCTGAGCAACTTAGAGCAGAATGGGATGTTATGTGCCATAAGCTAGTCTGCTGAACTCCGGTATGATGGAGGTGCTGCCCATAACCTGTGCCAGAGTAAAGTTCAGCTGCAGTCTTGTCAACTTCTATACATGGAATAAGGAGAGAATCTTGCCTTTTGCCTCAGGCAGCATAATGTCTTAGGCCGGCCTTGCTTAGACTTCTTGTTACCATGCAATGAAGTACATTTAAGAATTTGAGGGCTGCAGAAGAGGCTACAGCCCTCCTCAAAATTTGTTGGGAGGTGGCTGAGCGCCCCCAGGAATAATCAGGGAAAGAAGACTGTTGTTGCAGTCAGGGTTTAAGTGATGCTCTGTAATGTTATTTTAGTTGTACTCCAATCAGTTACGAGGAACATGATGCCATTCTTTCCTTCTGCCAATTAGCCCGTTTCAAATTGACTCAGAATATCAGTTAGCCATTTATTTGATTTATAACCCCTACTGTCCCAGGGACAAGTGATGTGTTTAAGATAGTGATGAAACCATCCCCATTTCAACCAGAGGGGTTCAACAATCCCTCTTCCCAGGCAGCTCTGGAAAATGTAGCTGTGTGAGGGGAATCGGGGTCTCCTAACAACTCTCAACACTCCGAACAAACTACAGCTCCCAGAATTCTTTGAGGGGAACCATGACTGTTCAAAGTGGTATCATACCGCTTTAAATGTCTGGTGTAAATGTGGCCCTAAGTTAGTCATGCTTCTTAACCATGTGGGTGCATTGAGGAAGACTGCAACACTATGTTGTAAGAAGCGAGCTTCTCTCTTCATTACATATTTGAAACGTGCAAATGTTTGGAATATGGTTACACTGATGAGGCTGTACCTGCAAGTCACTTAATCTGATATACAAAACAGATAGATATTCCATTTCATAAATGAAAATTCCCCTAGTGGTCATTGAGGTAGCTTGATTTATCAAGAAACCAGTCTTTTGCTGCTTCTTTTCTTCACAGCTTTTG